CGACAGTGAGGCTCCGCTAGATGGGGCCCCCCGGCGTTGATCCGTCATCTCTTCATTGTGGCGTGGGCAACGTTCCCCTATGAATCTTGTATTCTGTTCATTCTGCAAATTCAAAGTTTCCATTTGATGCTCGACTTTTGTGGGAGATAACTCCACCCCCTCGGCCGTAGTCAGAGTGACCACGGGTAAAGTCCTAGGAGACTTAGACCTGGGAGAGGAAGTCGCTGCTTCGTGCATGGAGAATGTTCTTCCCCAAGAAATTGAGCGAATCTCCTCCTCAGTTCCTCCACCGTGCCACTGGTGTCCCGGTCGTATTCACTAAAATAAGTAATAAGTTCTTCCTTGCGAAGGCTGTAAGCCCAGGACAATCGCAACGCACTTTCCATTTGGTAGTACCCTTTATGAATTTGTAAACACTGTTATAACAGTTTATTTCACCTCTCGTGACCCTGCTCGGGCGCCACTGTAACGACACGTTTCCCGCCTCCTGCTGGGGTATACTCAGGGGGGCAGGGTTCGTCACAGAAATTTATATTTTGCAGTGACGGAGAGGGAAGAAAATCAAGTTTTTTTTTTCTATTTACAAATTCAATGGGTTTCTTTTATTATTATTTTTACTATATATACACACAATGTAGTTCGTCTAAGGACTACTGCTCGTGATCATCGAAAGCCTCTCTGGCGACAGGTTGTTGCGTGTTGATACCTTCCCCGGATTGTATTCCTCTGTCCAGGCCCCTCGATGGCAAAAGTCGTCAGAACTGGTATGCAGGGAAACCTTTCAATCCTTCTAAAAGGGGTTCGGGAGACCTTTCAGCCCTCTAGGTCGTAAGATTTCGAATATTGTAGTCGGGAGACTTCCCTCTCGTATATTATAGTCTCGAGACATTCGATCCGGAAAACACTAATTTTGATATTCGGGAGACCTTTCGGCCCTCTCAATCATACAAATCTTCAAATGTTAGAGTCGGGAGACCTTTCGGCCCTCTCGATCGGAAAACACTAGTTTTATATTCCTGAGACCTTTCGGCCCTCTCGTTTATAAATATCTTCCAATGTTAAAGTCGGGAGACCTTTCGGTCCTCTCGATTGAAAGAAACGCTAAATTTTAGAGTCGGGAGACCTTTCGGCCCTCTCGATCGGAAAACACTAATTATTATATTCGTGAGACCTTTCGGCCCTCTCGATCATAAAAATCTTCAATCGTTTAAGCCAGGAGACCTTTCGGCCCTCTCGATCGAAAGAAACACTAATTTTTATATTCGTGAGACCTTTCGGCCCTCTCGATCATAAAAATCTTCAAAGGTTAAAATCGGGAGACCTTTCGGCCCTCTCGATTGAAGGAAACACTAAGTTTTATCGTCGGGAGACCTGTCGGCCCTCTCGATCGGAAAAAACACTAATTTTTATATTCGTGAGAACTTCCGGCCTGATCGAAAACTGTTATACAAAAATGTGTCATAGTCGTCTATATGATAATGGTATTTACCCAGACTTTCTTGCTGTATTACTTTTCGAATGAAACCTATCACGAGAGTTTGGAAATATCCACAGCTGCCTATAACATTGAATGGTTTAACTATGATGTTGAAACCCAAAAGGTTTTACAGCTGCTGCTGCTAAGATCCCAGAAACCATGTGCAGTAAGTCCCTTGGGGTCTACTGGTCTAATGGAAACTGTTATAATATTTTTTACTTTTCCTCATTTCAATTTAGATTTTAATCGCCAAAGCTTATCCCATAAATTTAGTCAGATTGCAAGCCATGCTGAGGGTCACCTACAGCGTATTTACTTTGTTGGACAAGTTTATGGATAATATGTTATGTACATGTAATATAGATAAATATATCGGAGTAAAAAATGCAAGTAAATCGAATCGTTATATCCAATTTTATGTGAATTCATAAATTCCTTATTCATCTCAGTTTTCTGGTTGAAAGCAATACTTAGACATAGGAAGATGTAAGGATAGAAGTATTGAAAATTGTGCCTATTTGTGGGTGGGGCAACGGAAGAGGTTCGAAGGTATATGTAATTTTTACAACAGATCTTTTGTTAACAAAAAAAAAAAAAACAAACAAAAATGTTTGTATGTGTAAAATTTTCAAAATATTGAAATCTATGTGAGGGAGGTACCAGAAGAAATCGTCCGATCTCCACCATCTTTATAATAGATCTTGTGTTGATGAAAATATTGCGATGTACCAAATCTGAATGGAATCGAGGTTCATTTCGCGTTTTATGATTTTCATGGATATTAAAAATTTTGACCCTTTGTGGGGGAGGTACCAGAAGGAGTAGACCGATATATAGCATCTTCACACCAGACCTTGAGCTAATAAAAATATTGTGATATGTCTAATTTGAAGAGAACTGGATGCTTTTTTTCGGATTTTATGATGAATTTTATGATTTTGGTTATTCAAAGTGTTCACCCTTTGTAGGGGAGGTACCAGAAGGGTATTTCGATCGCTACCATCTTTTGTTGATGGAAATATTCAGATGTGCCAAGTCGAAATTGTGAGGGGGGAAAGTCGCTAAACCTCGTTTTCCCCCACACAGAAGTGTAATGCCAGGATGGTATTTTGTTTTTTTTTTATATTTTTGTTTTTTTTTTCCCCTCCTTTAAATCTATTTTTTTTTATCTTTTGTTTTTTCCCACTTGTAAAATACAGAGAATATAAATTGCATTCGAGTGATAATTTTTGGGGTACAGTAGAGCACAAAATAGTCATGGGGAATGCAAAATGTGTGAACAAGGTACCGTTGTCCGACGACGGTAGGCAGTGGTCAGGACAGCGGTCACTTGGAATGAGGCAGAGAAAGGGAGAGAGAGAATCAATGGGCAGTCAGGCGATCACTGCAGAGAAAATTGGAGATGGCAGCGAAGCCACCAATTCGCCGTGGCAGAACCCAGTCTTTAAAGGGGATGTGCTGAGAAAGGTCTCACGAATATAAAAATTAGTGTTTTTTTTCCGATCGAGAGGGCCGACAGGTCTCCCGACGATAAAACTTAGTGTTTCCTTCAATCGAGACCTTTCAAATGTTAAAATCGGGAGACCTTTCGGCCCTCTCGATCGAAAGAAACACTAAATTTTATAGTCGGGAGACCTTTCGGCCCTCTCGATCGAAAAAACACTAATTTTTAGATTCGTGAGACCTTTTCGGCCCTCTCGATCACCAAACACTAATTTTTAGATTCGTGAGACCTTTTCGGCACTCTCGATAGAAAAAACACTAATTTTTAGATTCGTGAGACCTTTCCGGCCCTCTCGATCATAAAAATCTTCATATATTAATCTTCACTTGCACTTTAGGACAGGTAGGGAATTGGATTGGGGTTATTATTTCCTTAGTAAATTAACTTACCCCAAGATTTTTTTTCCACCTGCTTCCAGCACGTTTCTTAGCTTCACATTTTCCTTGTTTTTTTTTTTTTTTTTCACCCCGAGTCTTTGGTATCGCAGTCCTGATATTCTGTCCGCGCGCGATCGACGTTCTTCACTGACTGCCCCCAATTCGCTCAGCACATCCCCTTTAAAGACTGGGTTCTGCCACGGCGAATTGGTGGCTTCGCTGCCATCTCCAATTTTCTCTGCAGTGATCGCCTGACTGCCCATTGATTCTCTCTCTCCCTTTCTCTGCCTCATTCCAAGTGACCGCTGTCCTGACCACTGCCTACCGTCGTCGGACAACGGTACCTTGTTCACACATTTTGCATTCCCCATGACTATTTTGTGCCCTACTGTACCCCAAAAATTATCACTCGAATGCAATTTATATTCTCTGTATTTTACAAGTGGGAAAAAACAAAAGATAAAAAAAAAATAGATTTAAAGGAGGGGAAAAAAAAAACAAAAATATAAAAAAAAACAAAATACCATCCTGGCATTACACTTCTGTGTGGGGGAAAACGAGGTTTAGCGACTTTCCCCCCTCACAATTTCGACTTGGCACATCTGAATATTTCCATCAACAAAAGATGGTAGCGATCGAAATACCCTTCTGGTACCTCCCCTACAAAGGGTGAACACTTTGAATAACCAAAATCATAAAATTCATCATAAAATCCGAAAAAAAGCATCCAGTTCTCTTCAAATTAGACATATCACAATATTTTTATTAGCTCAAGGTCTGGTGTGAAGATGCTATATATCGGTCTACTCCTTCTGGTACCTCCCCCACAAAGGGTCAAAATTTTTAATATCCATGAAAATCATAAAACGCGAAATGAACCTCGATTCCATTCAGATTTGGTACATCGCAATATTTTCATCAACACAAGATCTATTATAAAGATGGTGGAGATCGGACGATTTCTTCTGGTACCTCCCTCACATAGATTTCAATATTTTGAAAATTTTACACATACAAACATTTTGTTTGTTTTTTTTTTTTTTTGTTAACAAAAGATCTGTTGTAAAAATTACATATACCTTCGAACCTCTTCCGTTGCCCCACCCACAAATAGGCACAATTTTCAATACTTCTATCCTTACATCTTCCTATGTCTAAGTATTGCTTTCAACCAGAAAACTGAGATGAATAAGGAATTTATGAATTCACATAAAATTGGATATAACGATTCGATTTACTTGCATTTTTTACTCCGATATATTTATCTATATTACATGTACATAACATATTATCCATAAAACTTGTCCAACAAAGTAAATACGCTGTAGGTGACCCTCAGCATGGCTTGCAATCTGACTAAATTTATGGGATAAGCTTTGGCGATTAAAATCTAAATTGAAATGAGGAAAAGTAAAAAATATTATAACAGTTTCCATTAGACCAGTAGACCCCAAGGGACTTACTGCACATGGTTTCTGGGATCTTAGCAGCAGCAGCTGTAAAACCTTTTGGGTTTCAACATCATAGTTAAACCATTCAATGTTATAGGCAGCTGTGGATATTTCCAAACTCTCGTGATAGGTTTCATTCGAAAAGTAATACAGCAAGAAAGTCTGGGTAAATACCATTATCATATAGACGACTATGACACATTTTGTATAACAGTTTTAACCTAAGGGATGGAAAATATTAAAAAATATAAGTTCGTTAAAATTTTGAATAATTTGTTACCAATATAAATGATAGCAACATAATGCACAGTATAACAACAAATAGTATACAGTCCACCAGCGATATTACGGAGCACAATTCATTGACTTTATCTATGAAACTGGAGAAAAATATTTTTGGTTAGTAGTGATAGAATATTGAAATTAATTGAATGATGGTTTTACCTAATAAGCTTCAGATGCAATTTTATGCATTCGATAATTTGTGCCTCAACCAATTTTGAAGAGATCTCTGTGGACAATTTACTTAGTTTATATTGCAACACCTTTGATATGGCCATGGCAAAGACCAGAAATGAGACGAACATTCCTGCAAATGGTATAAACGTACACATCCCCGAAAGATTTAAGACATTTTGCACGGCCAGCAATATTTCATACCAAGGAGTTTGATACTCGTCCAGATAGGGTACATATATGCCGAAAATAAATTCTGAAAAAAAAAAAAAATTTCAAATATTAGAATACTTCAAAATTTATATGCAGGATGAGATAAAAAAAAACTGCGACAAAGTCAAACGCCATAATTTTTATACCATCCACCATAGTATGGAGGGTATATTAAGTTTGTCATTCCGTTTGTAAAACCTCGAAAAATACTTTTTAGACCCCACAAAGGACATATATTCTTGATCAGCACAAAATTCTATGTCGATTTAGCGATGTCCGTCCCTCTATCCGTCTGTTGAAGTCGCTCTAGCTTCCGAACGAAATGAAATTGATAAAATTTTACTCAAATGTTTATTATGTCTGCAGGACTTTTGGTATTGAAAATGGGTCATGTAGGTCCACGTTTTGGTATAGCCCCTATATAACGGTACTACCCGATATTCGGTATTTTGATGATTTTAGCAACATTATTCACAGAAATATTTCAACTTTGGTATTTGAAGTCTCAGACAGAAAATTGTCTATGCAGGTCCACGTCTTCGTATAGCCACCATATAACGGTACCTCCCGATATCGATTCGATATTTTGATGATTTTAGCGACATAATTCATCGGAATTGTTTCAAATTTGGTATTTGAAGTTCGCAATGGATACTACAGCCTAAGTCAGAAAATTGTCTCTGCAGGTTCACGTCTTCGTATAGCCCTCATATAACGGTACCTCCCGATATTCTGTATTTTGATTTTATCGACATTATAACCGATCTTTCGTAAGTTTCGTATTTGAATATTGTAACGGCTTATGACAACTGTTACCTATGCAGATTCATGTCGTCATAAAGACCCTAATATAACAGCTACATTCGGTATATTTTTGATTTTAACAGAATTTTTAACGGATTTTTTTTTTGTAAATTGCCAAATTTGTTCCAAATGGTAGAGGGTATTCAAAGTTCGGGCCAGCCGAACTTACAGCTTGTTTACTCGTTAGTTTTTTTTTTAATTTTTTTGAATGAAAGCAAAAAGTGTCGGAAATAGTATCAAATTTTAGAATAAGTTTAGATTTGTTCGAATTGGCCACCTTTGGCACGAATTATGGCCTTTAACCGCTGCCCGAATGTTTCTTTGCGGTATTTTGGCCCATTTCCGGCAAAGCACTTGCTTGAGGTGATCGACACTTTGGTATTTTTTGGTGCCAACCTTGCTTTCCAAAATACTCCAGACACAATAGACCAATGGATTGGTATCCGGAGGTTTTGGTGGCCATTGTGCGAAGCGAGGAACCTCATCTTGTCACCTCTTGGGTGTCGCGTGCTGAGTGCGATGGCGCTGAGTCCTGTTGGAATGTCCAAGGTCTGCGGCCAAAATGTTTGCGTTTAAGGCTTTAATACACCCTCCAGAATATTTTCGCGATAATATTCAGAATTTATTCGGCTGTTATGGCGGCCCACACCATCATCATGGCCGGCGCTTGAGTTCTGGTGGCCAACCGAAGGTGCCGATTTTCAGCTGACCTCTTTGGCAAGTGAAGACGATTATTTTGTTTGTTTACAAACTGCTGGACAACGAATGTTTTCTCATCGGAGAAAACCAAATTCGCCAGTTACCCACTTTCAGCCAAGCGAAGCAGCTCTTTAGCTCTTTTGAGTCTATTTTCTTTCTGTTGCGGTGTAAGTTCTTGCACTTTTTGAAATTTCAGTGGCTTTACCCCGAGCTTATTTTTCAATATTTGCCGAATGGAATATTGCGATATTTTCAGCTCACGAGCCGTTTTTCGGCCAGTGCGAAGCGGGTTTCGATCAAGTCGCTTCTTTATTTTTCGAACCATTTCTCCCGATGTTGCTGTTTTCTTCCGTCCATTTGCTTGACGTCGGGCTATGCTACCAGTATCACGGTAACGAGCGATGGTACGAGACACAAAAGATTTATTCACATTTAACTGCTGGAGTGCTCTAACGATAGTCACTTGGGGTTTTCCAGCCAAATACAAAGAAATCACACTATCACGCTTGAATTCCATGGCGAATAACTTTTTTTCTGGAAAATTCTCACCAAAATGCTTTTGTACGCTTGTAAACAATATAATGAGCTGCCATTGGAATAATTTTAACAGACGTCGACGAGTGACTTAGAAATGACAGCAGTCTGAAGTTGGTTGCAGTTTTTTCATCTCACCCTGTATTTCAAAAAATCATTGTGGATTTGGAAGCAGCTTTGAAATATTTTTTACATCCTTACCTCTCTCCTCGGCCATTATGGGAAACATGGAAAATCCCACGCCCGTCAAAATGCCCATTGTGAGATTAATTTTTGATACTTTCAACACCATATCCGAATATTTTCGTATTATTTGTCGTATTTCGAAATCATATTCCATTATTAGCTCCGCGTACAAATCCTTCATGTACTCCAAAGATTCGGAAAATTTCCTTCGATTTGTCACCATTACAATGGCTCTCAGAAATGTATTGAAAATTATCATTGTCATATAGGTATCGTGTATCTTATCATTAATTTCCTTTTCCGTATAATACAAATCCAGTATTTGAAAGATATTCAAAAAGAAAAACGGTATATAGGAAAAGTACTGACGCCAATTATTGTCGATAAGCACCGACCAGAATTTCAAAATTCGCACATTGAACCACAGCATTGGAACATCTTCGAGGCGTTTAATTTTTGCAGAATATTTGGTGATTTTGTTCGTTTTTCTCTCAGTGAGGAACTTCATGTTTCTATTCCGTGAAAATAAGTTTCGATTTTGAGCTACCGTTCAGTTTGTCGTAAATTGGAAGTGTTTTGCTACCTAATCGTTTTCTACGCACTTCAACAACACATGATGTAATGTTTTTAATTATTTAACGTTTGCGTAACTTATTTACAAAGTTGGAATATTCAAAAGTTTCAAACAAACTTCCTCTTCCTCGGTTTTTAAGTTACAGAAAAATAGTATTTCCATGCGTGTACATTTACACCTAAAAGTATGCTTTACTTTAAAAACTTTGTTGTTTTGAATGGTGGCGTTTACATACTCACAACACTTATACGCTCAACAATTATTCCTAAAGAGTAGATCTAAAATACTGTTGTGTGGTGAATTTCGGTAAATAAATTTGGTAAAAATAATGAAGTCATTGTAAATATGTAAAAACAAGATGTAATTGATTGTGCGTATGAGGAACGGAGCTCTTTGGATTATGACGGTATATACAATCGTTTATACTTATGAACGAGTAAGGTGATATCTGCCGATATTCAAGGCCCAAACGAAATATCTGAAGCTAAAATCTTGATAATCTTCTGATAAGGGAGAATTTTTGGAAATTCGTAATAAAGGCAATAAAGTAAGAAAATTAAAAAAAGTACTAATTATTACAAAATTAATATTAACCCATTGACCTTTGAATCTATTTCTATAAAAGAGGAAAACGTTTGTACGTTTGTTTGTAATTTATAGAATCAAAAACCGCTGAACACATTTTCCTGAAGACAAATGTATATACATTTTTTAAATTCCACTTGGAACTGGAGGTATAGCATCAGAATGAGGAGGTGCCTCCTCTAGATTTTGCATGCACATATCACTTGATCGATACAGTCTTTACATTTGGAATATGTAACGAAATCTGAAACAAAAATAAAGTCGCCAAAGTTATATTGAGATCGGTTCAGACTTGGGTATAGCTATCACATATGTTTTGGTCACGCTGTGTATATCAAATTTCAATAAAATTTGGAATGTGTGATGGAATTTAGTCTAAGCATTTAGTTGTTAATTTATATTGAATTCGGATGTGATTTGGATATAGCTACTATATATATTTTCGGCCGATGTCATGTATTTGATGCACCAAACACGCAAGGTATCTCAAATTTCAATAAAATTTGGGACGAGGAGACGGAATTAGGTACAAAAAAAAAAATGCGAAATTATAATGAAATCGTTTCAGAATCGGATAAATAAATGTTATTTAATTATATTGGACTACGCCTTTGGTATTACGCCAACAAACGAAGAAAGGAAGGGAGTCTCAATACACAGCTCGTCTATAGAGACTTCCTGGCCTTCAGCTCGTCTATAGAGACTTCCTGGCCTTCAGCTCGTTTATAGAGACTTTCTGGCCTTCAGCTCGTTTATAGAACTCCCTGGCCTTTAGCTCGTTTACAGAACTCCCTGGCCTTCAGCTCGTTTATAGAACTCCCTGGCCTTTAGCTCGTTTATAGAAACTCCCTGGCCTTCAGCTCGTCTATAGAGACTCCCTAGCCTTCAGCTCGTCTGTAGAGACTCCCTGGCCTTCAGCTCGTCTATAGAGACTCCCTGGCCTTCAGCTCGTCTATAGAGACTCCCTGGCCTTCAGCTCGTCTATAGAGACTCCCTGGCCTTCAGCTCGTCTATAGAGACTCCCTGGCCTTCAGCTCGTCTATAGAGACTCCCTGGCCTTCAGCTCGTCTATAGAGACTCCCTGGCCTTCAGCTCGTCTATAGAGACTCCCTGGCCTTCAGTTAGTCTATATAGACTCTCTGGCCTTCAGCTTGTCTATAGAGACTGCCTGGCCTTCAGCTCGTCTATAGAGACTCACTGGCCTTCAGCTCGTCTATAGAGACTCCCTGGCCTTCAGCTCGTCTATAGAGACTCTCTGGCCTTCAGTTTGTCTATAGAGACTCCCTGGTCTTGTCTATAGAGACTCCCTGGCCTTCAGTTAGTCTATATAGACTCTGTGGCCTTCAGCATGTCTATAGAGACTCCCTGGCTTTCAGCTCGTCTATAGAGACTCTCTGTGCATCATAATAACATTTTCTACATACACACAAAAATTAAAAAAAATTAACTCATACTGCACTGATCAGTCAGTATGTCCACCATGATTCAAACCTACTAAGTGATAGAAGGCAGCTTGTTCTTCTTCTCGAGATTACCGGTCAGATGGTTTCTAAATGATATCTTCTTCAATGAGATATTTATTGAATTTTCCACTATGTTGTTTTGTCCTGGAAACCAACAAAGCTTAGTGCATTTATATATTTCAGTCAAGAGTGACTCTCAATTTAATGGCACTTGTCTTGATAGCTTTAAGGGCCGCCTTCGATAGTCAGGCGGGGGTTAGGAAAGAATAAGATACCCTTGAGAGCTCTGGTTGTCAATACGGATGCGGATATCTGCACTGCGGTTATGTTGAACATGATCGCCCTGGATTCAATCGCATGCCACCAGACGAGAAATCCACAGATTAGAACAGGTAAGAAACAGTGACGCTTCTACATTAAGGAGGACTTTTTTGTCTACCGAGGTGTATAGTGCAAGAGGAAAGATTCAGTGCAGAAAAAATAACATTTATATTTTTTTTGCATTTTATACCCTCCACCATAGCATGGAGGGTATATTAAATTTGTCATTCCGTTTGTAACACATCGAAATATACATTTTAGACCCAACAATGAATATATACTCTTGATAAGCATAAAATTCTATTTCGACTTAAGGAAGGCCGTCCGCCTGTCTGTCCGTCAGTGGAAATCTCTCTAGCTTCCGAACGAATATGTTAATAAAATTTTACTCAAATGTGTCTGCAGGACTTTTGGCATTAAAAATGGGCTATATATATTTTTTCGTGAATTGTACAAGTTTAGTATTTGCTGGCCCCAACCGGACAGCTGTTGGTATATCCTTTACAAAAGTTTAAATACAGGATGAGATAAAAAAATGAAACAAAGTCAAACGCCATATTTTTTTTTTAAATTATATTGACTGAAAGCAAAAAAATGTTGGAAATAGCATTAAATTTTAAAATAAGTTTAGATTTGTTCGAATTGGTCACCTTTGGCAAAATTATGGCCTTCAAACGGCCGATTAAACCGTCACACACTGCCCCAATGTTGCTCTGCAGTATTTTGGCCCATTCCCGGCGAAGCGCTTGCTTGAGGTGATCGACACTTTGGTATTTTTATACGCTCCACCTTGGAAAGGATGTTATATTAACTTTGTCATTCCGTTTGTAACATCCTTAAAAATTCGTCGTAGACCCCATAAAGTATATATATATATTCATAACCAGCATAAAATTATAAGTTGATTTAACGATGTTCGTCTGTCTGTCTGTCCGTCTGTCTGTCTGTTGAAATCACGATACTGCCCACATTATTTGACGTAGAGCGCCAAAATATAGCAGAGCAATTTTTATTCTGTCTAGGATGGTTGGTATAGTCCCCATATAACGGTACCTCCCGATATTGGGTATTTTGATGATTTTTGCCACATTTTTTCATGGATTTGTCTAAAAATTGGTATTTGTTGGTCATAATAGGTCCACGTTTTGGTATAGCCCCCATATAAAGGTACCTTCCGATATTCGGTATTTTGATGATTTTTACACCATTTTTTCACGGATTTGTCTAAAAATTGGTATTTGTTGGTCATAATGGGTTCCAGCTCCGGTGGCGAAACATTGCATGTATGGGTCCACGATTTGGTATAGCCCCCATATAACGGTACCTCTCAATATTCGGTATTTTGATGATTTTTGACACATTTCTTAACGGATATGTCTAAAACTTGGTAGTTGTAGATCATAATGGGTCCCAGTTCGGTGTGACGAGTCATTGTAATTATAGGTCCACGATTTGGTATAGACCCCATATAACAGTACCTCCCGATATTCGGCATTTTAATGGTTTTTGCCATATTTCTTCTAATGTTTCCTTTACCCGAAGGTGGAGGGTATTAAAAGTTTGGCCCGGCCGAACTTAATGTTTTTTTACTTGTTTAATATACTAAACTAGCTGGCCCGGTCCGCGTTGCCGGCCCGTATTTTTAGTCTTTAATGCACATTTTGCATAGCATAATATTTCACAAATCTAGCTCATAAAGTTGAACAAATTTTAATATAAATATTGATTCGACTAAATAGAAATAAATAACTATGGAAGGAGGGCAAAATTATTTCTGAATAGTCAAAGTTAATTACGCTTTTACACCCATTTACCATGGCACCTCAAATGGCGCATTAGAGTCCCCAAAAAGTCTATGTTCTTGTTCATAGTAAAATTCAATGACGATTAAACGATACCCGCGTTGTTGTCCGCCAATCGGTAAACATCACTATAGATCGGCGGGCCTGGGGACTATAGCCTAAATACAGCAAATAATGGCCAAATCAGTTGAAAAACGTGGCTGAAATCAGGGATACATTTATATAAGGGTTATACCAAAACGTGGCCCAACCAATATTCTCTTGGGGGTTACAAATTCAATAGAAAACAAAATTTTCTTTTCTGACCACCAATTAGATGTGAAAATGGACTTGCAGATACTCCAATGTAGCATAAATACAATTTTTAGCCAAATCAATTAATAAATGTGGTCAAGACCAAAATGGGCCCTACTCTGAAAATTTCAAACTTTATGCGAAGAGGTTCTCTACCTCCTTAGAAACAAAGATGCCAAATAATGGCCAAAATATTAAAAAAGTGACCAAGACACCAAAAATAGCTTAAATCACACGATGGTTATATAAATATGAAATCGGGTTGTACCCTTATCCTTAATTTATGATCGATATCATGATCTGCAAAAGCGATTTAAGGTATCTTGAATGTTTGGGAAGAATTTCTGGAAGGATAGAAATCCTTTTCTTACTCAGAGTCCCATTCGCTCTACTATTTTCCACCCTTTATATTCGGTATTTTTCTGATTGTACATTGGACGGATTATTGTGACAGGAAAGAAGTAGTTCC